CTAAATGCAACTCCATTTTTGCATTAAGAATCTAAATGCTAAAAGCAACCCTGTGATCTTCCAAAATTTCCACGATTCGAACATGGTTTAAAGAGAAAAAGTGGCAACATTGCTTTTTCGAGTATACAGTTGCTAGCTGCGTTTCAGTGATCGTCGATCGAGATTTCTTTTATTTTACATTACATATTTGGATAAAGAAAAGTTAAGCAAATTCAACATCGATGTGATGCTGATAGAAATCAGGATCAATTTATGATCAACTCTGTTTGTTTTGTTTCCTAATTAAGTGAGGAAATTTTAATTGACAGCACCCACAAATGAATATATACATAAACAAATGTTCGGTTATGGTTAAAACAATTCAAGTTTTTGTAGGTTTAAAATTTATTTTTTCCTTTTCAGTAGGGTTTTTGCACATTATCTTCTGTGTGAGAATTAATCGTAATATATAGGGATCTAAATAAGAGACTGGAACACGGCTGTTTGTCAAAAGCATACGATTTCGAACTCGCGTAAATGTACATTTGCTAAATGCTATAGCATGAACGCTCTTCGAAAACATATGTTCGAAAGTGCTAAATGTTGCATTTTAAATGCAGCAAAAACGCTACATAACATACAAAGAGTCAAATGAGTTAGTTGAATGAGCTGACTCCTTAAAGTGAGTTGGAGTCATTGAGTCAACTCCTATAAATTTGCTGAGTTACCCACCCTTACAACAGAAGACTAATTTATTTTATGTTCTCAACTCATATTATATGTAATTCAAGCTAAATATGATGTTAGTATGTATGTATATTCACATAACAGTAGTAGGCGGTGGCGTGATACAACAGTGAAATTCCAATGAGAGTTTAAATTTAAATATTTATGTACATATGGATGTAAGCATGCATACGTAGTATATACATATGTATAAGTACAATTAGTTGTGTTAGATTGACATATAAGTATGTAAATGTGTGTATATCTCTTTGTACAATTGAGAGTGAGCGTGAATGTAATAACATTGGAGTTATTGAATGCAATTATTTAAATGAGTATTAAGTAAATGAGTGTTCAGGTGTTCTTAACCTAAGGCAGCTTGCAGGGTGTCTCGTTAGGTGACCCAACATCCCGGCCCCGTTGAAAGGACTTTCAAATCGGTAGTACTGCAACCTTGTGAATCGGGCGACGGTTGGTTCCCCTCGACGTTCGTATGTCGACCACTCTAACTCTGGTATCCTTTCCTGGTATGGCATTTATAGTTCGTCCCAATTGCCATCGTTGTGGTGGCACATTATCCTCATGGACGAGATTCATGGCGTCCTTTGCGATATTTGCGTGGTCAGTGGTCCACTTTGTTCGCGCTAGAAGTTGACTCCATTTGTCGACGGGGTTGATGTTGGCTGCTACTTCGCGCTCCGGAAGTGATTTCAACGCACTGCCCGTAATAAAATGACCTGGAGTCAAAGCCTCATAATCACTGGGGTCAGATGAGAGCGGTGATATTGGCCTAGAATTAAGAACCGCTTCTATTTCCACTAGGACTGTAGTGAGCTCCTCATACGTCAGTCTGGCATTCATGACGCTGCGGTTGAGATGACCTTTGGCTGACTTGACTGTAGCTTCCCAAATTCCGCCAAAATGAGGTGCTCTAGGAGGGAAGAAATGAAAATTAACAAATTCATTAGCACAATAGTTAACGATGATATCTTGATTTTGTTTCTTGAAAAGGAATGTTTTTAATTCAGCAAGTTTTCTGCAAGCGCCGACAAAGTTGGTTGCATTGTCGCAGAAAATGTCAGATGGAAGACCTCTCCTTCCAATCATTCGCTTAAGCGATGCTAAAAAAGCATCCGTGGATAGGTCAGAGACGACCTCGATGTGCACCGCTTTTGTTGCAAAGCACGCGAAGATGGCTACGTACGCTTTATAGGGTGCCTTGCCTCTAATACGAAGGTAGACGCTGAAGGGTTCACAAAAATCGATTCCGCAGCGAGCGAACGGGCGCGACGGTGTTAAGCGCTCAACTGGTGGATTGCCCATCATGTGCTGGAGTAGCTTCGGCTTGTATCTCACGCAATGGATACAGGATCGGACGACGCGTCTAGCGATATTGCGTGCGTTGACTATCCAAAACTGTAGGCGAATCAAAGATACCAACGCTTTAGGTCCTGCGTGATAATTTTTGATGTGCAGATGTTTAACATATCGTGTCACGAATTCGCATTTGTTGGGCAACAAAAGGGGATGTTTTTGTGATTCAGAAATATCAGCCAGTTCAAGTCGACCGCCAACCTTCAGTAGTTCGAAACAATGGGTAACCTCCAAAAACGGGTTCAGATTTCGTAGCTTGCCATTTGTCGTTGACTCTCTCTGCAACATTTGAATGTCGTTAGTGAAGTGGTATTGTTGCACGTTCCAAACAATGCGTAACAAAGCGCGGTGTAGTTCGTTGGCAGTGAGTGGTCCATTTACAGTGTCGGTGTCTCGTTTCTTGAGCCTTGTGCAAAATCGGAGCATTAAAGCGACCAGTCTGACTTCTAGGGTGTGAGAGCTGTACCTGTCGAGGATTTCAAGAATATAGTTAGTGGGTATAGTTACTTTAAATACCGATTTCCGCATTTCAGACTTGACAACCGCCATGTCTACGTTGTTACTCATTTGTGTAGGCCATTTGCTTACGTCTTCGTAAAGAAATGCAGGTCCAGTGAGCCAAATTGAGCTAGCAAGTTCAAGTGCCGTGCTTCCTCTCGATGCAATGTCAGCTGGGTTGCTTTTGGTTGGCACGTGTCGCCAATGAGCGTCCACAGTCAAATCCTGGATTTCCGATGACCTGTTGCCAACGAAAGCTGATAGCGTAGCCGAGTGTAGTTTGAGCCAGTGAAGAACAATTTGCGAGTCTGTCCAAAGATAAGTTTCGAACCTATAATTAGTGAAAATTGCTTTGATTTTTGTGAAAAGTCGAGCAAGAAGGAGTGCACCGCAAAGTTCCAGTTTTGGCAGTGACTGTCGTTTAGTTGGAGCCACTCGTGATTTTGCCGTAAGAAGGCGAACGCGCACATTGCCAGTGTTGTCTAAGGTTCGTGTATATAGTCCGCAGCCGTAAGCACGAATCGACGCGTCACAAAACCCATGTGTCTGAAGAGACTGCATGTTGGTAGATAAACAGTACCTTGGAACCTTAACTGAAGCCAGATCAGAAAGAGTGTTGACGAATTTTTCCCAAGCCGACTGGATATTTTGAGGAACAGACTCGTCCCACTCAAGTTTCAGCAACCACATTTCCTGAAGCAGAATTTTGGCAGTGACGATCACTGGTGCTAGGAGGCCAAGTGGATCAAAGAGCGACGATGCGGTAGATAGAATTGTCCTTTTCGTGACACGACTATTTGTAGGCTGCCTAGATTGAAACGAGAATAAAAAATTATCATGTGTCTGATCCCATGTCAGAACAAGAGTGCTAGTTATTGAGGTATCGAGATTAAGTCTTTGACAGAGTGTTCGCCCCTGAAACGCTTATGGTTTGAATGCCACTTTGCCAGGTCAAGTCCACCTAATTTTAGCAACTCCGTTACCTCTTGTTTTATTCGCGAAAGGTCCGTACGCGAGTCATCACCGCACAGCAGGTCATCAACGTAGAAAGATGACTTGACGACATTTGCACCAACGACGAATTGCGATGCATGTTGATCAGCAAGGTGATGCAGACTACGTACCGCGAGGTATGGTGCGGCCTCCATTCCGTATGTGACCGTATTAAGCTGGAAGGTTTGAATTTCCTGGTTAGGCGAACTCCTCCACAAGATGTACTGGAACATTCGATGTTCTTCACTGACCAGCACCTGCCGATACATTTTAACGATTTCTGCTGTGAGCGCAAAGCGATGTAAACGAAATTGGAGCAAAAGAACTACAAGCTCGCTTTGTATGATAGGACCCACCATTTGGATGTCGTTAAATGAGGTTTGAGTAGTGGTCTGACAAAATGCGTCGAAGACAACCCTTAGCTTTGTTGTTGTGCTACCTGGCTTCAGAACGCAGTGATGGGGGATGTAGTAGTGAGGCTGGTTTAAGTTCGGGCTCAGAGCTACCTGCATGTGGCCTAGTCTCTCATACTCGTCCATGAATTCGACGTACTGTGTCCTGAGGTTAGGAGAGCGTAGCAGACGACGTTCTTGTGCACTAAAACGACGCAAAGCTGTGGTATACGATTCACCCAAGCATGCAGGATCGTCCTTGAACGGCAGTTTTACGACAATTCGACCATTTGGGCTCCGAGTCACGGTGTTGTTATAAAGTTTTTCGCAACTGTGTTGCTCACGAGTCCACATGTCCGCCTTTGAAGTGACTTCTTCAATCTGCCACAATTTCTCCAGTCTTGAGTCTATGGACTCTTCACAGGCAAGTAAACATTTGGTGTTAAGCGTGTTAGAGCTCGCACGATAGCGTCCAGAAACGACCCAACCCAAAAGCGTTATCTGCAGAATTGGTAGACTATCACCAAGTTTGATTTGGCCCACTGAAAGTAAACTGAAAAAACTTTCCGTTCCTAAAAGCAAGTCGATTTTTTTAGATTTGTAAAATTGATTGTCTGCAAGCACAATATTGGATGGGATGTCCCAAGACGAAGTATCTATTTCCGGTTCAGGCTGATAGGCTATATGCGATGTTATACAAAGCGTGAGTGGTAATTCGAATCCTGTCACTTGCGATTTTATATTGGTAGAGGTCGTATATTTGATGTTTGTAGATGACTTAACGATACCTTGAATTTCAATGTTATGTTTTCTCCGTGGAAGCATCAGGGTTTGTGATAATTCATCCGTAATGAAGTTTACCTGGGAGCAGGAATCCAACAATGCTCTGCCAAGTCGATAACCACCAGATACGTCGCGAACCAAAACTATAGCAGTGGGGAGAATTATATGATCCTGCGATGAGTTGTTCATGTGCGTATGAACGGCGGACGGAGAGGTAGACGAGTCGGACGTAGTTACTCGATGAAGCAGGCTATGGTGCTGTCGAGAGCAAACCTTACATTTGTGCAAAGATGGACAACTCGATAGTTGGTGGCCCTTTGACAAACAAGGGCCGTGGAAGCATCAGGGTTTGTGATAATTCATCCGTAATGAAGTTTACCTGGGAGTAGGAATCCAACAATGCTCTGCCAAGTCGATAACCACCAGATACGTCGCGAACCAAAACTATAGCAGCGGCGAGAATTGTGTGATCCTGCGATGAGTTGTTCATTTTCGTATGAACGGCGGACGGAGAGGTAGACGAGTCGGACATAGTTACTCGATGAAGCAGGCTATGGTGCTGTCGAGAGCAAACCTTACATATGTGCAAAGATGGACAACTCGATAGTTGGTGGCCCTTTGACAAACAATTTATGCAAAGGCCCATCTTCTTTGCGTGGTCAAAACGCACACATTAAGTGCCTTGAAGCGATCGCAACTATGTATTTTGTGACTGTTGCTGGAGCACATCGAACATGACGGACTCGAACAAGCAAATTAATGGCTCTTGTGATGATTCTTTGCTTTGGGCGCTTTCGCAGCAATTTGGTGTACGGATCCAACGGCGCGAGAGTTATCAATTGAGTCGAGGTACTGGCAATGTCTCTCCAAAACCTTGGTGCACTCGTTCCAGGTCGGTAATGTGTTAAATTCTAGAGACTACTTCCATTTACGGTTTGTCTCCTCATCTGCCTTCTGTAAAACTAAATAAATAAGCATGGCTTGTGAAATTTGGCCCTCTGTGCCCAATGACAATAATGAGCCGTAAAGCGCGGACGCTTTGTCAATGAGACTTCTCAACTGGGCGCCATTGGACTTGGAAACTGACGAAAGTTCAAACAACGAACATATGTTTTCTAAAAATATTAAGGTTGCATTGTCATACCGAACCTTAAGTCTATCCAATGCCTTCGTATAGTTTTCATTAGAAACTGAAAATGCATCAATTGTTTCTAACGCTGGACCCTGGAGACAATTGCGTAAATGATTAAATTTCTCTATGTTTGAGAGGCTATACTCACGGTCAATTATTTGCTTAAAGGATGTTATGAAATTTGTATATTCAGAATATTTACCGCTGAATGAAGGAAGTTTAAGTTTGGGAAGTTTAGAACTNGCAGCAGTAGCGACGGCAACAGCGTATGATGGTGGCAACGAAATTTATGTCGCAAACAATGCAAAATATATGAAGCGCTCCGATGTCCAACAGTGGGGTCCCACGGCGCAAGCNGGAAGCTTAAGTTTGGGAAGTTTAGAACTTGCTTGCATGACACAAGTGCTTTCTGAAATTGTGGCGTTGTGATCTTCAGTTAGTTGGGTCCGAATGGTCAACTTCATTGTGATGTATAGCTCCTCTAGGTCTGCACGACCACCATCCTCCGAATCCAGCCTTTCGATGTCGGTTTGGGTAGACAACACATTCTTGAAGTACGATTCAAGAATTCCAAGCCGACATTTATACTCAGCTACGGAGAGTGTTTTAACACCTGGTCGTAGACTGGCCTCAACGATGTTTTTGATGCGGGAAATATTCTTCTTGATATTAGCCCTTTGTTGTTTCGACTCTTCTAGAGACATTTTAAATAGAGTGAGAAATTAGCGAAAATTTACGTATGCACATGATGTGTGTTTTAATACGACAGCGATCAATAACAACAACGAGTGTCAGTANTTAGCGAAAATTTACGTATGCACACGATGTGTGTTTTAATACGACAGCGATCAATAACAACAACGAGTGTCAGTAACAACGGCAGTTGAATTTAACGAATATTCGCGAAATGATCTTTGGATGACCTCTGGAGCAACGGGACTCTGAGAGTAACGACAAATGGCAAATCCCGCTTAAATGTTTTTGGGTAGCAGCGACAAGTTAGGCAGCGAAGTCAGCGAGTGCAAACGATACAGCTGAGCTGCAGCNAGAGCAACGGGACACTGAGAGTAACGACAAATGGCAAATCCCGCTTAAATGTTTTTGGGTAGCAGTGACAAGTTAGGCAGCGAAGTCAGCGAGTGCAAACGATACAGCTGAGCTGCAGCGAAGACGATGCAGTGGCGACGGTGACAGCGACGCAGAGCGCCCAGGCAACGGTATGTCAAGCAGCAGCAGCACACACATGTACCAAATGCAGCGAAAAAATATGTGTGTAAACTTACGGTTAACCCACAGCGACGATATAACGAAATCGCAGCAACGATTAGTGTTTGCAGCGGCAGCGAGCTAACGTATGCGAACGTTAGCGTTTAACTAAACAGCAGTAGCGACGGCAGCAGCGTATGATGGTGGCAGCGAAACAGAGTGCAATGGCAACGATAAGCCAAATAACAGCAGCACGCAAATTTACCAACTGCAGCGAAACAATGTATGCGTACACTTACCGCTGGCGCAGCAACGAGAAAACAAAATCGCAGCAACGATTAGTGTTTGCAGCGACAGCGAGCTAACGTATGCGAACGTTAGCGTTTAACGAATAAGCAGTAGCGACGGTAGCAGCGTATGATGGTGGCAGCGAAACAGAGTGCAATGGCAACGATAAGCCAAATAACAGCAGCACGCAAGTTTACCAACTGCAGCGAAACAATGTATGCGTACACTTGCCGCTGGCGCAGCGACGAGAAAACGAAATCGCAGCAACGATTAGTGTTTGCAGCGGCAGCGAGCTAACGTATGCGAACGTTGGCGTTTAACTAAGCAGCAGTAGCGACGGCAGCAGCGTATGATGGTGGCAGCGAAACAGAGTGCAATGGCAACGATAAGCCAAATAACAGCAGCACGCAAATTTACCAACTGCAGCGAAACAATGTATGCGTACACTTACCGCTGGCGCAGCAACGAGAAAACAAAATCGCAGCAACGATTAGTGTTTGCAGCGGCAGCGAGCTAACGTATGCGAACGTTAGCGTTTAACGAATAAGCAGTAGCGACGGTAGCAGCGTATGATGGTGGCAGCGAAACAGAGTGCAATGGCAACGATAAGCCAAATAACAGCAGCACGCAAGTTTACCAACTGCAGCGAAACAATGTATGCGTACACTTGCCGCTGGCGCAGCGACGAGAAAACGAAATCGCAGCAACGATTAGTGTTTGCAGCGGCAGCGAGCTAACGTATGCGAACGTTGGCGTTTAACGAAGCAGCAGTAGCGACGGCAGCAGCGTATGATGGTGGCAACGAAATTTATGTCGCAAACAATGCAAAATATATGAAGCGCTCCGATAACCAACAGTGGGGTCCCACGGCGCAAGCCTCCAGCGATGGTGATGGTGATGATGGTAAAGAGCCAAGTGAAGACCACCAAGAGCAAAAACGCGACAAAATAATTTGTTTAAAAATAAATTTAAGCGCGAGCAGCAAATGGGTTTTTTCCTTTAATGCACAGCCCCACGTTGGGCACCAAAAAATATAGGGGGTTTAAAGAAGCGTTTTTCTAAACCACAATTTAACAAACCGTATTAGCAAAGATTTATTATCTCATTTGGGCTGTGCAATTAAAATATGCGAAATGAGCAAAGTTACCGAAAATGAACTTAACACGTCTTGGGGGTCAACAGAAGACTAATTTATTTTATGTTCTCAACTCATATTACATATATGTAATTCAAGCTAAATATGATGTTAGTATGTATGTATATTCACATAACAGTAGTAGGCGATGGCGTGATACAACAGTGAAATTCCAATGAGAGTTTAACTTTAAATATTTATGTACATTTGGATGTAAGCATGCATACGTAGTATATACATATGTATAAGTACAATTAGTTGTGTTAGATTGACATATAAGTATGTAAATGTGTGTATATCTCTTTGTACAATTGAGAGTGAGCGTGAATGTAATAACATTGGAGTTATTGAATGCAATTATTTAAATGAGTATTAAGTAAATGAGTGTTCAGGTGTTCTTAACCTAAGGCAGCTTGCAGGGTGTCTCGTTAGGTGACCCAACAATATGATTAACTTAAAAAACAAGTAATACAAAAAATTAAAAAGAAGAAATAATAAAAAAAAAACAAAAAAAAATATATATATATATATATTTATATATAAAAGGAATATATAAAAGGAATAAAAGGAAGCATGTCACATAAGTGTGAATAGTAGGGGGTACTATGGAATATGGAATATGTAAACCCTATGTATTGAAAATAAGTTAAGTACATATGTATAAAATGATAAATATTAGGTGGCAACTCTGTAAGATAGATATAAGAAGAATCCAAGAACGATAGAATACAAGATTGCGCATTCCCGCAGAATAACATTTGTGGCCAAGAACGATAGAATACAACATTGCGCATTCCCGCAGAATGACATTTGTGGCAATGGGTAAACAAAGAATATGTCGAAGAACAATGAGTTGACAGTTGTGAATTTGCAGTGAGAAAACGTGTTTTCTTCACGATTCACCAATTTCCCAAGCCATCTTTGAATATAGCAAATTAAGCACAACGTTAACAAAAAATATACAACCACTCTTGAAATGTATTCAAAAGAATAGGTCTTATTAATTTGTATTGCAGGTGCCGAAAAAGTGATAATATCTTGTGGCCAAGGCGTCGTCGCGGGAGGAAAAAACTGCATTTGGGGGCTTTACTCCTAGGGCTGCTGAAATTCGCGGCACGACATTTTTATAAAGTTTTTATTACAAATAAAACGTTTTTTACTTTAGAACGCACGAATTACTTCGATTTTTCACTTGAAAGTACACAATACGTTTACACTTGTTTCTAAACAAAAAGTTTGTTTACGTATTGCCATAAACGTCAAAGTCGGCAAAACCAAAGTAGCGGTTTTGGGAATGCGCCACCTTCAGTTCATTACACCTTGAGAAGAATCGATAAATAAAGTTAGTTGGCTAGCACACATTAACCAGGCAACTTGAAACAGTTTAAGCCTCAGTGTATCCAGTAAACAAACTTAGCTATTTTTTTCACCTAATTTGGTCCCCATAAAGGACTAGTGTTGCAAGCAACGCTCTTTCGGCAATTAGGGTGTTGTGCAGCTATTTATTTAAGCACTGGAGAGATTTATTCACATGGAATTGGATATAGGGCTGATAGATTTACTTTAAATAAATTGTGAATCTGCGAAAATATCTTTTCAGCAGATGAATATACTTATTAACTTTTTTCCCGAAAATTTACATACAGGCTTGAAATTGTGCGAGTAACATTCATCATATCATCGCTTGGATGGAAAAATGCCGGAATCGTCATTTTGACAATTTGTAGTTATAGATGCAGTTATATATTTTAAAGTAAGATATTTCGATTTTTTGTTAACTGGTTTTTGGATATCTTCTTTAGCTTCCGAGTAATTGACTAAAATGTTTTCGGCTATTTGTTACAAATTGCGTTAGTATTGCTGTCGTACTAAACTAATCAAGATCTTTCAAATAGAGTTACCTGTTCTTCTTTAGATTCCGACATATTCAGCCTTATTATGAGTTTCATTTTCTAGAACCGGGTCACTTTTTCACTTTTCGTTTGCGTGTATTCACTACAGGTGGATGAAAAAATTTTTGGCGAAATTTTGTTCGGGCGAAACTCACGATTAGGCTGATTAGTAAAAAGTATCGTTAATTTATAAAAAATTGTTATCACATTTTGGCGTATATCATTAAAACTGACTGCAAATTTTTTGAGAAATGTCGTATACGACAAAATTTTATTAAACTCATAAATGGTTGACACTAAACTAAAAAAATAAGATAGTTTAAGAATTTCGTGAACTAGTACATAGCATTCCCCGACACTTTAGAGAAGATCTGTAGTCGTGTTTCTGAGAAAATGCATTCCAAACTTCAATCGTGAGTTACCGAAAGTAACTTGTGACAATCTTTTATCCAGGCGACGATATAACATTTAGCTAAAATATGCATCTAAATAAATTATAATTGTCATTATTTTCGCAGTTGGAGTATATGCCAGACGAGTAACAGGTATATACATACAAGTATACCTAAATTAGCGCGTTGAGCTTGTATATTTCTCTCTCTCTCTAACGCATTAATTCTACGGCACCAACGGCCGACAAAGTTATGTCTGTATTTAATAATAGCTCTATGACAAAATATTCATGAAATGTATTCGTAGATTTTTATTTACTTCATTTCATACATTAGTATNTTATGGTTACATGTGTATATCTTGGTAACCGCTGCACCAATTTCTTCCAAACTTGGCATAGTTGTTTACCTTGGTATAACACATGAAATGACCGAAAATTTTTAAAATCGGACAATAACCACGCCCACATCCCATATAACAATAATTTAGAGAAACACGAAATCTTCGATAAATCAGTAATTATTGAAGCTAATTTATTCAAAATTGATGTTTGCAACAACTCTTTACCAAGAAATACGTTTAGGATAAAATTTTGAAAAATGGGCGTGACACCGCCCACCTCTGATCACATATGTATATGTATCTCGGTAACCGTTCTACCGATTTGTACCAAACTCGGTGTGGTTATTGTGCTTGCCACATAGAAGCAAAACGTTGAAAATTATTGAAATCGAACTAAAATTACGGCCGCTTTTCATATAACAGTAAATTTCAGAAATGCTTGAAACTTCAATATATCGAAATTTAAGGACGCTAATTTACTCAAAATTGGTACACCCCGGTTTACCATGTAGCGGTAGCTTTCCGAAAGGTAAAAAACATATATTTAATACTTGCGCCGGGTATTTAATGTTCGGCTCCGCCCAAATTAGACTTTCTTACTTGTTTTCTTTGTTTTTTTTTTGCTTGGGCGCCTTTTGAAGATGTGCCAAATTATATTGTCGCCTTAAACATAAAAAAACAATTTCTTTAAGCGATCTTGCGCAGCAGTTTGTTGATCTTATGCTCACGGCTACCGAAATCACCAACCTCAACGTAGTCATTAGACTTCTTGCGTCAGCCTCGGGTTGATGTTTTGAGCTTGAATGGCATCAGGAAGTTGGAGGCTTTCTTGAGGTGGGTTCCAACAGTGAATATTTCGTGCGCCAAATAATCAACGCACTGAATTTTGTGCGCTTTACGCAATTTGCGTTTGATCACAAAGCTGTCAGAGATTGGGACACGTTGATGGTTGTGCTTGACAATTCCAAATTTATACATCAATTCACGAACTGATTTGAGATTTGCAGCATATTAATGGTTGCCTTGTTTAATTTGATGAACAAACCGTGTTTAATGTGGCGAAAACGGAACAACAGTAAAACTTTACGCACTTTTGGTGCAACTTTGTCGATACCGCGGATACGGATCACAAAAGCCAATTCGGATTTTTTAGGCACGTAGAATTGGCCGCGTTTTTTTGCCACACGGCGCAACTTCATATCACGGCGTCCATCACGGCGTTTTCTTGNCGATACCGCGGATACGGATCACAAAAGCGAATTCGGATTTTTTAGGCACGTAGAATTGGCCGCGTTTTTTTGCCACACGGCGCAACTTCATATCACGGCGTCCATCACGGCGTTTTCTTGTTTGATATTTCTCAGCATGCACCAAGTTTCCACGTTTACGGAGTGTAATCGCAGCAGAGCGCTTAAGTTGACGCTTGATCAGGGTAGCAGTTTGCTGCCTGCTTCTTGCTGAACTTCAGCTTCGACTCAGGGACAGGAGGCAGCTTCCTGGAAGGTTGTCTGCCCTTTGCTTGCGGTTTCTTACTTAGCACATTGAAAAGGCGAAAAAAAGTTCGCCAAATCGTAAGTGATATGCTGCAACCAGGCACTTACTTTCCAAATTCCATCCTGTTTATCGGCATAATTTTCCAAATATGCCTGCTACTTCATTATTAATAACTCCATAACTGCGGCTTCTTTGTTGCCT